GAACAGCATGGTGATGGGGGGGGGGGATTTTCTGGAACTCACCTCCTGTATGGCTCTCTCTGCAGCAGCAGAAAGCTGGGTTCTTCTCCTCTCTCTCCCACTGGCTTCCAGCTGCTGCAAAGGGGATTGGCTCCAGTAATTGCCCCCCCCCCCCGCACCCATCACCCTCTCTGTGCACCATAAGTCTCCCCCTGCTGCCCAGGCTCCCTTGTGTGCCTCTAACCTTGTGGTGCTGCCAGTTTCCCTCTTCTCCTTTCCACCAGCAGCTGCAAGCACACAATAGGATCCTTCAGAATGGAGAGTGGGGTAAATGTCACATTTACCAGCCCCTTCCTTTCCTGAATGAACACAATGAGTACTTGGTACTGATCACTCATTGTGTTCATTCATAACTGAAGCATAGTAAACTGTGTCTTTTTTTTAGGGGGGGGGGGGCCTGTCAGGTTGGCTGTATGGGAGTCCGTGGTTTCTACCAGCAGTCAGTATGTAATCATCTTATCTGTATATGTTCCGAACATCCTCTGAATATGAAATTATTATTGAGAGAATGATTATTGTTTCTGAAAGTCTTGCGCATGTGGTACTGTCCTTTTTTTCTGTAAGAGCTCCATTTAGTCTGGTGATTACCATTTATGTTGTAAACAGTTCCAAGGGTAGTCACGGCACTCTAGGTTTGAAGTAAATGCCCAGGTGCTCACCCACAAAGAAATCCATATAAATCCAGAACTGGTTTAGAGGCACTCACGGGTCTTGCATAAGAAGAAGATCAAAAACAGCAGTGTTTTTATTGTCAACATTTTGTTGAAACTCAATCCATCTTTCTCAAGAGGAAAGAAAGGTCTGGACTAAAAGATGGACTAAGCTTCATCGAAACATTGACAATAAATACTGATCTTCTTCCCCTGCAAGAACTGTTAGTGCCTCTAAACCTATTTTGAATTTATGTTGTATGGTAGTGGTGGTAACCTTTTAGAACAATCAGATTCTGGAATAAATGTATAAATTATGTCCTGTTTATATGCTGTGGACTTCCAAGTGTGTTGATCTTGGGCTACATTATGTACTTATGGTACACTTATACAATTGAGGTCATAGCGATACATCTAAAGTCATGGGTGGAAGCACAACAGAAGTGATCTGTGGTCCTGTAACTGCTGCCAGCTCATGGACACCAGTGGCTCTCAGGCTCAACCAGGTAGATGTATGCTCTTAAGAAATTTTGTTCATTGGCCTGATCTCATTGATCTTCTTTCTTTGCAGGCACCCTGACAGGCTTGCTGCCCTTTACAAAGTACGCGGTAACATTATCCGCATGCACTTTACCCGGCTGCAGCGTGATCTCCCATGTTGTGAACGTCACCACTCGGGAAGAAGGTAAAGCAATTCCAGAGGTCTTGACTTCCTCATCTTAGTCATGAATAATAAAACAGAGGGATCTGAACACTGCCGAGCCATTTGCTGCAAAACCAAGAACCTAATTTGATGACAAAGTGCATTGCCAGAGTGTAATTGCTTCATTTTTTTGGGGGGGGGTGCTAGAATGAATCAAACTCCATACCCTTTAATGACATGCATCTTTAATAGCTGTAATGCAGATTAATGGGCTTTTTAATTGCTGTTACATTGTTCATGCAAGAGCCTTGTCATTAATACGAAGCATCTGAAAGATTAATGAAAGCTTCCTCATTTTACTGTGGCTCGCAAGTAAATCTAGAGACAGTCTGACTAAAAAGAATTGATTGTATGGCACAGTATGAAATCGAGAATCAAACGGACGCTTTCTATGGTCTCTTTTAATGGCTAAAGACCAGTACAGGCAACAATTATTTCAACTTAGTAGCGATACCAAATGCCAATTGGAAGCCATATTAATCATGTTGGCGTGTGTACCATTAATCAGATCCTTGGGCTTCTAATGTAATGCCTGAAATGATTGTTGCAGTTTAAGGAAGAATTTTGGTCTCAGCAGAAACTGTTCTGAAGTTTCCCTTTCTATATCTGTTGAGCAGTGATGGGCTGAACACCCCCGTGTTCGGTTAAAGAATGTTCGACCCCAAACTTTGAACTCAATACAAGTCTATGGGACTCGAAATTGAAAATTCAAAAGTGCCCATTTTAAAGACTTATATGCAAGTTATTGGTCATAAAAGGGGTATGGGGACTTGAGTACTGCCCTGAGGGACATGAATCAATGGAAACATTTTTTTCAAAAGTACCATTTTTAAAGGGGCAGTCATTTTTCGCTGATTAAAGTAAATTAAAAAAAATAATAAAAAATTCCTTTACATATCATGCCTGGGGGGTCCCTTTAAACTACCTGAAAAGTTGCACATCTGTACAATGTATAGAATCTGCTGCAGCAGGACTTACATTTTTTTTTTTACATTAAAAAAACAGTTTGGGGTCCCCCCCAATCCATACTAGACCCTTTAGGTCTGGTGGGAAGGTTAGGAGGGACACCACAGTAAACATTTTTTTTTTAAAGTGCATGGATATTCCCCTAAAAGGCCCTTTAGGTCCCCCCTAAATTCCTACAAGACCCTTGATCCAAGCACAGGCCTGGCAGGGCATTTAAGGGGAGGACGATTGAGCGCCCCCTCCCTGCAGCTTACCAGGCCATGTGCCCTCGACATGAGGATTATGTCCCCAATGGCCTCTCACCCACAGCCCTGGCCCGGTGGTTACGGGGGGTGTGCGGGCAGAGGGGCTCATTAGCATCAGGGTGCCCCTTTAACTAAGGGGGCACCCAGATTCGCTCTCCCCCGTGAATGATTAATGAGTACCCATTCACTAAAGGGTTAAATTTAGAAACAATAAAGACACCAGGCTTTTGAAAAATTCATTTAATTGAACAAAAAAAAAACAGTTTTTGACAAATCCTTTAATGAAAAAAAAAAAGCCCATAAAATGGTTCCATCTTTGTAGTCCATTGTCAATCACAGTGTCAAATGTTGTCATGATGACACTGACTTGCTGAAATAGAAATAAAAAACAATGCCTGCTGACCAGTCCGCACACGCCAAGCACTTTCAGCAATCTGACATTTGCCAATCAGATATAAACAATTGAACAGAGCTAGTGTTGCTGGTCAGATGTAAACAATTGGACCGAGCTAGTGGTGACGTCACCGCTAGCTTCATCCAGTTGTGCTGTGATTGGCCAAAGCATTGCACCTGACCTGTGGCCAATCAAGGCTCTCACAATGCACTGTGAAACTGCAGTGCATTGTTGGGCAAGGCGTGCAAATAGCCCACCGAACGCTCTTACCATTTGTGGCAAACACACGAGCGGCCGTTGTTTGAGTTGAACATAAGAAAGTCATCCCTACTGTTGATATATCTGAATGTAACCTGTTGAAGGAATGAAGACTCCTTGGGGCTTCAGAAGGACTTCACCAGTTCTCCCTGCTCCCTGTTCTCAGTAACATGGTGATCTGAGACCCCTAAGCATGTGTGTAATGTTGGAGAGGTTCCCAAACACACCCAGTGTAAGCCCTCACAGCCACTACTGAGATTCAAAATTACCTTGAAAGTGTGTTTTGCCCTGGCAACACATGGAGTAGAAAGAGAGAAATTTGCACAGTACAGGCTTCATCACATAGATCCACACGCCGCACATGTAAGGAGCTCTGTGAAATCGGACTGCAGCGTATTACAGAGATGTCAAATTAAACCCTAACTCTGGGAAAAATATGTTTATTAAAAGAGACCACTAGCAGGTGTTAATAATAGAAAAAGCAGCTTAGGTTGTAATACACACCTTGAATCCAGAGCAGTACTTCATGCATGGCACTCTTCTTATAATAATGCAGTAATAACCAGCTACAAGTAGACAGCTGAGAGTGGAAGCTCACCTATAGGCACATAAAATCTGGATCCTCAGACTCCACCCATCATTGCATATCACACCCCAAGCCACACCCATGTATGATTATTAAAACATAAATATTTTAAGAAACATTTGTTTTAATAAAAGACATGCAAATTTGTGTATTCCTAACCCCTGAAACTGAGACTGCAGCAGTATGTGCTGAACAAAACAAAAATCTGTTTTCTAAGAAAGGCATCTATACAGAGCAGAGATCAAATAATAAAAGTGTTTTCTCTTATATTTTATGGTAAAGAATAAGTACAATTATTGAACCCATTCAGTGAAGAAGGAAATGCTTAGTGCTGTGTGCAATACACAACATACTTATGCCACGCATAATACTCTACATACTAACCTACTAATCAAGCATTGGTACAAATACAATGTTTACTATAAATTTACAATACAGTATATTTGTCAAAAATAACTGCCTGACACCCACAATAAAACTCAAAACAGTAATATTACCAATAATGTAATTCAGGCAGAATAATATATGACATTAAGAAATACACTCAGCAAGATCACCAAGCTTTGCCTAACAAGATTGCTCAATTTTCCCCCTGGGAGTCACTGTAAATGATGGTTATGTAGGCATTGTCACCTGTCTTACAGATCCTGATGTTAACATGTGGTTTGCATGTTTTCCATTATGCAATCAATGGCTTTGCAAAAGAATTTCCAAGCTTTAGTGGTTTGTGAACAGGAGTTTGTCATTTTCCCTGGCTTCTAATGTTTTTTGTGGCACTATTTCTCCTTTTGTTCAATGATTTTGTGTCTGTTTCCTCCTGGCACTTAGCACAAAACAAATAAACTTCCATTTGAAGTATGTGAATTTTGGGTGAAGATTTTGTGAATGTTGGTGAAAACATAAATAAATAGTAGGGATGAACACAGTGATTATGGCTAAAATTCTGGATTTGGAAACTCCATTTCACTAATGGAGCTGCATAGGTAAAAATTGCTTTTAAAAAAAATAAGTCAGAGATTTATAAGGTGTACTTTGATTAGTTTACATTATTTCATTTAGGACTCCATTTACAGAAAACTCTTGGATATTGGGTGTGAAAACATTGATAAATAGACCCCTTAAAGTGACATTAAAGGATAAGTTCACCTTTCACAACATATTACATGCAGGGGTGGACTGACCATTTGGAAACTCGGGCACAGCCCGAGGGCCCGGGGTCAGTAGGGGGCCCCATGAGATGCCCCTGGTACCTTTTTCATAGGCTTTTTTGAGTTTAGGCAAGGACACAGGGGCCCCTTGATCCCCTATTGCCCGGGGGCCCCATGAGTTGTCAGTCCACCCCTGGTAACATGTTGTATCCATATTCAGGGTGTACCATGTAACATGTTATGAATAGACTGGCCCCCGATCCCCTGCTTTAACAGCTAGCAGGGGATCTTCTCCTGCTAGCTGTCAAATTTTTTTCAAAGTCTCTGTCCTCTGTGAATGAGAGACTACAAGTCCCAAAAGACTTAGCCGCTGTTGGCTTGTGCTTCTCATTGTACTACCATGGTGCTATTGGGCGCCATGGTAGTTCATTGATTCTTCCTGTCAGTATATCTGCTTCCCATACATCCCTTACTGGCAAGCAGGATATATGGACAGGTCTGCAGGAGACCTGCATGGCACCAGCAATCTGCTGATCACTGGTGCAATGCTTTACAGGCTCCTGCAACAAAAAATAATAAATACACATTTTTTTTTTACCTGCAAAAAAAATGTGCATTTATTATTTTTTAGCAACAGGTAAATTTGTCCTTTAAAGCTTCCTTTTTTTACATTAAAGTAACAAACATGGTATACTTACTGGCTCTGCGCAATGGTTTTACATAGAGCAGTCCCGATCCTCTTCTTCTGGGGTCTCTCGCTGATGCTTCAGGCTCCTCCTCTTTGGCTAGTGCCCCCATTGAAACTCGCTTTCCACGGGGGCACATATGCAGGTTTACCTTGATGCATTTCATACATCAAGGTAAAAAAACCTTCAGTATGCAGCAGCCTCCTGAGCACCCCAAATACCTACCTGAGCCCGATCTCAGTTCCCTGCTCTCCCAGGTCTCTCCCTCTACATGAGACACAGCAGCCATTGGCTCCGGCTGCTTTCAGTCACAGCCTGTGAGGAGGTATCGGGTACGGGACCGAGTTGCACTCTGCTGTGTCTTATGGATGCAGAGAACGGGGCTCAGGAATGAGTATGTACCAGTGCCCCATAGCAAGTGTCTTGATATGGGGGCACTGCTCAGGGGAAAGGAGCCAGGAGTGGTGGCGGGGGACTCAGGAAGAGAAGGATCGGCACTGCTTTCTGCAAAATTACTGCACAGAGAAGGCAAGTATAACATATTTGTTTTTTTTAAAAATAAATAAAAAAACGAGTCTTTGTAATCACTATAATGTATAGAATGCATAGAATGCATTAAGGTAAAATACCTAAAGGCTTTAGAACCCCTTTAATATTGTTTGTGCTTTTATTCTTTTCCTTTTTTGTGTACACTTTATCATTACTTGTATAATGTTGCTTTTTGCTGGGGGGTTTTCTGTGAAAATAAAACTGTGCAATAATGAGTCTAATGACATCAAGAGTCAAGAAAGCTCAAAGTACCTCCACTAACATTCTGAAACTACTGAAATTCCATTGCACTCTTAAAAATGTATTCACTTTTCCCTTTGACTCCAGTGCATTTTGCCTTTTCATTCTCTTTCATTGAAGGATACAGGAAGTCTTTAACATTTGAGTTATACTGCTACCTACAAGAGCATTTGACACTGGCTAGCAAAAAAAAATGGTAGGCCAGCCCTAGATAATTCCTCTAACTACCAGCATGCCTTTTCTATGGGTATCCAAAGAACATGAACATATTTTTCACAGCTACTGCTGTGTTAATTTTAACTGTTTTACGAGTTCCCAAGGCTGCCACCTTGTCTTCTATTCACACTTTTTCTAAGTTCTACCAGGTGTATATTTTTTCTTCACCTGATGCCAGTTTTGGGGTGTAAAGTCCTTCAAATGGCTGAGCTGCAGACAGTCCCCGGTTCATCATTGTTTTCTGGTGCCTGTTAGTGTTTTGTTTGCTTTATTGCCCACCCCTTAGTTGAATTGCTTTTGGACGTTCTGAAGATCAAAAGCTTGCTGGACAAGAAAGAAAGTATGACTTTTGGACTCACCATAAAATCCTTGTCTATTGAGAGACACAGGCCCTACACCTCTGTGTTTAGGATCATGCTGTTGGCACTGCTTTGCTCCAAAACTGAGGCATGTTGGTAGTGGAAGGGTCTAGCCTCGGTTGACCTACGTTTTTTTGTTTTCCAGTGTCCAGTCCTCTTGTAGACAGTATAACCCAAAGGTTAAAGACTTTTTGAGTCCCTCAATGTACTCCAAAAGTGATTTTACAGTGAATACAAAAATCCTTTTATTTTTGCCAATGTTTCAAGAAATCTAAAATATTAAATTTCATTCATCCTTAATACCTAGAGTTCTACACCTGTTTTTAGAGAATCTTTGTAGAATTGTCATAACTCACCCAACCAGGCCAATGTTTTTCAATGGTTGGAATTTAGTTTGCCTAGCAATGAAACCTGCAGGCTACAGGAGAGCTCTTTGAGTGGAAGGATCCCAATGCAATGTTTCCTGGAAATCCCTTTTAGCATTCAGTTCATCAGTCTGCCCTGGCCCTAAGAAAAAAACATTTCAATTTATTAAAAAGCCATCACACGAGTGGAGAATTTAGGTATGCAGATTCCAGCGGTATGTCACCATATTGCATCCATTTTCTGCCTGTTAGCATAGTGGAATAATATAGAAATCCACTCCATTGACTTTGTGTCTACTCTGTGCCATGGTAAAAAACACAAACTCCCAGTAGTGTTATCTGATTTCTGGAGAAAAAATCTATTTCTGCATAACGAGGGCCCATTGGATAGTGCCTCTGCATTAATCCCTGATTTCTACTCTTATATTTGCAATTCATATGCGGCATCTTTACTTCAATATGCATATTAGCATTAAGGAGAGCAAGCATTAAATAGCTCATTTTTTAAAGGACTTTTTTTTCCGCCATTAATGCGCTATATAGTACACATAGCCATGTCAGATTGTGGCCTTCATCAATGTAAGTTTTCCTTTATTTAACTAAATGTTAAAGAAAAGGTTTAAAATCTTTAATGTATTCAAGGGGACTGAAACTGGAGAAAAGTTTTCCAGGCCAGCAAAGTTTCAGTTGTTAACTGAGCCAATAATAATACTATATACACAGTATTTATTCTTTCCATTGTTATGCACACACCAAACACACAGACACGCATCATAAAAAATCTAGGCGCACTCACTACTTTGCAGTAATCGGTGCTGTCAATCCAGAGTTCCCCATGGACCCAATGTACATGAACTAATAACAAAGTTTCACTGCAGCATTTTAATGGTTGAGGAAGCATCTAGTGCAGGGGTGGGCAACTGTGGCCCTCCAGTTGTTGGTGAACTACAAGTCCCATCATGCCTCTGCCTTTGGGAGTCATGCATGTAACTGTCAGTTTTGCAATGCCTCATGGGGACTTGTAGTTCTACAACAGCTGGAGGGCCACAGTTGCCCACCCACCCCTGATCTAGTGGATTATTGTTGTGTTTTGCAAACTCAACAATACATTTTGAAGGTTTTGCAATGAAGCTTTGTTGTTTTATATGTACAGTATAAATAGTATATACTGTATATACAGTATATATATATATATATATATACACACTATATTGCCAAAAGTATTGGGACACCTGCCTTTACACGCACATGAACTTTAATGGCATCCCAGTCTCAGTCCATAGGGTTCAATACAGAGTTGGCCCACCATTTGCAGATATAACAGCTTCAACTCTTCAGGAAAGGCTGTCCACATGATTTAGGAGTGTGTCTATGGGAACGTTTGACCATTCTTTCAGAAGTGCATTTGTGAGGTCAGGCACTGATGTCGGATGTCTAATTCATCCCAAAGGTGTTCTTTCGGGTTGAGGTCAGGACTCTATGCAGGCCAGTCAAGTTTCTCCATCACAAACTTGCTCATCCATGTCTTTATGGACCTTGCTTTGTGCACTGGTGCACAGTCATGTTGGAACAGAAAGGGGCCATCTTTAAACTGTGCCCACAAAGTTGGGAGTATGAAATGGTCCAAAATGTCTTGGTATGTTGAGGCCTTCGCTGGAGCTAAGGCACCAAGCCCAACCCCTGATAAACAACCCTACACCATATTCCCCCCTCCACCAAACTTTACACTTGGCACAATGCAGTCAGGCAAGTACCGTTCTCCTGGTAACCACCAAACCCAGACACATCCATTGGATTTCAAGACAGAGAAGTGTGATTCATCACTCCAGAGAACACGTCTCCATTGCTCTAGAATCCAGTGGCGGAGTGTTTTACACCACTGCATCTGATGCTTTGCATTGCACTTGGTGATATAAGGCTTGGATGCAGCTGCTCAGCCATGGAAACTCATTCCATGAAGCTCTCTATGCACTGTTGTTGTGCTAATCTGAAGGTCACATGAAGTTTGGAGGTCTTTAGCTATTGACTCTGCAGACAGTTGGCAACGTTTGCATACTGTGCGCTTTAGCATGCTCTGACCCCGCTCTGTCATTTTACATGGCCTACCACTTCGAGTTGTTGTTGTTCTCAGTTGCTTCCACTTTGTTACAATAGCACTAACAGCTGACTGTGGAATATTTATTAGTAAGGAAATTTCATGGATGGACTTTTTGCACAGGTGGCAACCTATCACGGTACAACGCTTGAATTCACCCTAGCTCCTGAGAGCAACCTGTTCTTTCACAAATGTTTGTAGAAGCATTCTGCATGCCTAGGTGCTTGATTTTATACATCTGTGGCCATGGAGGTGATTGGAACAGCTACACGGGCTTGGGAGACCAAAAGAGGGTCTGAGAGGTTGAGAAAGCTGAGGCAGCTAGCAAGTCCAGGGGGGCTGGAGGAAGTCTAGAAGTCTCTGAAAGAGTGAGCAAACCTAAGAGGACCGGAGAAACTTTTTTGGAGGCCATGAGTGGGCCTGTGCAATGGCTAAGGAAGCCTGAAGTCAGGAAGACCAATGCTAACAGCAGCGGAGCTGCTGAAATGGAGCCAGGTGGGCTTACATTTTTCATTACTGGTTGTTGGAGAAGAAAACACATACACACATGCACACACTGTAAGGTCAAACGTTTGTGAACATTAAATCTATATACTCCTACAAGCTTGTTGGACATCCCATTTCAAAACCATGACCATTAATGTGGAGTTGGTGCTCGTTTGTGACTATAACATTCTCCACTCTTTTGAGAAGGCTTTTCATCTGATATTGGAGTGTGCCTGTGGGAATTTGTGCCCATTAAGCTAAAATAACTTTTGTGAGGTAAAGTACTGATGTTGGGTGAAAAGACCTGGCTCGTAGCTGGCATTCCATTTCCTCCCAA